ATTTCTCATATATGGATCTTGGGACTTTAGGTTTTAATCGGTACATTTTTGTTTTCCACCGCCTATATCTTTAATTAAATCCTAACATATTGTGCAATCCAATCATTTCATCATATATTATCTCTTCAAGGCTGAGGTAAGTGTCATCCTTAGATTGTGCCCTTGATGTAATTGGTGTTTGGTTATCGAACTAACGACCGAAATAAAATCGGATTTGAGTGACAACTCAATTCCAATGTAGCCATAGATTTATGGTCGCTGCCATTTAACCGAACTGTGCAGTGAGATAAATTCTCTCATAACCAAGACTGATAAATCCTTTGTTGATTCACCATAGCTATGATATATTTCATGATTTAGCCAATCACCACCGTACTGATAACCTCTATATAATAATAAAACATTACAATCCTAACTTGGGATACTTATAAATAAGAATAATCTTCACATTGTAATAAGTTACAATATTTCTAATTCCCGTCTTAAGAAAGTTGCTTCCACATAATAATAATTATTTGTTTACAAAAAAAAATGTTACACTATATTAAAGGTTTAAGATGAAATAAAATATTTATCTAAAGTTATTTGAGACAATGATTTATGCTTAAGAGTTGTTAGTACATCTTTTAATTTGCAGGCACAAAATAATTCCCTAGCATTACCTTCTTGTTGAAGTTGAAATATTTATTCCTTTTTAAGCATATTTAGAGCTTCTTGGGACGAAACTTCTTGTATTTCCTACTGTCATCCTCAAGATTATTTTCTTTTTATCTAATTGCAGCAATGACTACTAAAATAATGAATTGAAATCCCAATACATACTACTAAAACGTGAATTACAAAATAACTAAATCAAAACAATAATTTTTTTAACTACATCTCTATTAAGTTATAATCTCTTCATAGTAATAAAATTAGTTTGTCCTACTATTATGATTATACAAAGGTTTTACTTAAGATTCCGGTAATTTTCCAAAACCAATAGTAAATTAGTAATTATTGTTGGTTAAATAAATGGTAATCTGATTACCTCCATTTTCTTAGGTATTTTAAGATTACTTGGTAATGTTAATGTTATTACAATTTTACCCCTTATTAATAACATTTTTGAACAATAATGCCCTTATTTAGAAATTAATTTACATGAACCTGTCATTACAATTTTACCTTTAATTAATTAAGTTTTTGGATAGTAATGCCCTTATATTTAAAACAAATTGCAAGCCACCCAAGACCACCACCACCTGCTAGCAACCCTCGTTAGCCACCGCTGACTGACGTGATCGGAATAGCGCACACACGACTGGATCTAGTCGGTCATGCATCAATTTGGCCGTATCCAGCTATATCCACCATGAATCTAGCCAGAAATGGTCAAATCTGCTGCTAGAGATTTGGTCGTTGACAACTAGATTCTGGTCGAGATCTAGCTATTAACAACGGCCAAAACTATCTGGTCATCGTAGATCTAAATCTATTCGAAAACGACCATATCGGTGCACGGCCGACCAGATCCAGTTGATCATGCGTCGTTTTGGCAACTACCGATTGCCGTCCGACAGTGGTGACCAATGATTGGCTATCCTATTGGGTAGTTAGAATGCTTTAATTAATTTTTAAACTTTTATGGTGATGATGTTTAGCTAAATTAATAAATGTCGGGTGTTAAAAAAATAATAATTTAAAATAATAATAATATTAAAATGGATGGGTAGTTTAATAATTCATATAACATACCTACCAATTTATTCTTCCTAACTAGAGCCGACAGTGGACCGTGCCAGCCCATAGCACGACAAGGCACGACACGAAAAAAGCACGGCACAGTATGGCCCACGATCATGCAACCGTGTCGTGGGCCTTATAAAAGGCACGTGGGCCGACATGACATGACAAAAGCCTAATTCTAGAATTTAGAAATTAATAAAAATGAAGATATATAATAATTCTTAATCCTAATTTCTAAATTTGTATTTGTAATTTATAATTATAAGTATAAAAAGTATTGAAATTCAATTAATATTTCATAGTGATTATATATATTTTTTAAATAATACAAATATAAAATGTCACAAAATATAACATATAATATATTTTTATAATAATTATTAATAAGAAATCAAATTTATAAATATTAAAAAAAAAAAAATTGTAAGCCGACCCACAAAGCATGCAAGCCGACCCACGACATAGCACAATATATAACAGGTCGTGCCGTGAGCCTTCAAATTTAGTACGTCGAAAGCCCAATACAGCATAACAAGACACGAATTTCTACTAGCCTTGGCTACTGTTTTAAAAACCGGACCAGACCGGCCGGTCCAATCGGTTGGACCAGGAACCGGTCACGTGTCCGGTTCGAGTTAAGACCAAAACAGTTATAATGTAATAAGCCATTTTAAACCGTTTCAAAACCGAATAATTTCACTGAACTGTCGATCCAACCAAACCGACGGATAAACCGGTCGAGAAACCCCTAAATCCCTAATACCCCATCGCAGCAGACGCAGCCCTTTCTCTGTTTCTCATCTTCTTCTCTCTCAGTTTCTTGCGAAAATTTCTTGGCTCCTCTCATCTCTGCGAAAATTTCTCAGCTTCATCTCTGTTCTCTTATCTCTGCAAAAATTTCTCACCTTCTTCTCTGTTCTCTACGAAAATTTCTTTCTGAAATTCCACCCAAATCGCAACTGAACTCTCTGAAATCAACGACGACGTCTTCCTCTCTCGCCAGAAATCAACGACGTCTTCCTCCCTCGTCGGAAATCGACGATGATAGCTCCTTTCCTCACTGAAAATTGACGGCGACAGATCCATTCATTGACGACAGCTCAATTCCTCGATCCAGGTAATAAACACGCCATTCCTCGATCCACCTTCAATAATCAATAATGATTTCCTTGCAAACTTTATCTGGAGCAATGTGTATGTGCATGTATTTCCAGATTATGTGTATGTGTATGTGCATGTATTTCCAGATTATGTATTTGAATTCACCCTGCTCCTGCTCCTGCTCCTGATTTTGTTTTTCTTTTGCTGGCTAAAAGCAGAAAGACTTTTTGAAGTGACCTCTGGGCATAAGAAAGTTGTTTCATATGTGAAATTCTTGTCAAATGATGAACTTGCTTCTGCATCTACAAACAGCACACTACAGTTATGGGATGTGAAAGAGAATCTGCCAGTGAGTAAATATTGCTTTAACCAAAATTATCATGTAGATAATCCTTTCATTTGAAGTTTGCATGCCCATTTGAAGTTTGGTTTTGGAAGCAGTGAGATCGGGACGAAATTGATAGCAGTAAAATCATGAAGTGCATTTTGCAAATCACAAAAAGGAAACTCAAATTAAGCTCATAAAAGAAGGAAAGATTTTTTCTTCTTTTATGAGCTTAATTTCGTATATGTACTTATGTAGTTAGCAGAACTTTTATTGATATACTTTATGTTTTACTTGAGTTATTTTATGTACAACTATCAACCAATTTTGTGGTATGTTTGTTGCTAAATACTTATTGTATGTGCATGTATTTCCAGATTATGTATTTGAATTCCGTACTTGAATGTTTATGTTTTACTTCTATTGTATGTTTGTAGATGGAATAAGGACTATGACAGACAGGATGTTGCATGATGACATAGCAAGAATACAACTTGACTTGATTCAAATGATTCAAGCTACAAACAATAACATGCATGAAACTTAGAGAAGAAATAAAGAGTCACAGGAAGAGATGAGACAAATGAAAAGTAGGGAAAAGGATTCTCATGATGCGTGATGACGTCACTGGTTCAACCGACAGTCCAATCGATTGGACCGATTGAACCGTGACCCAACCATCAGAGCGGGTTGCCCTCCGGTCCGGTTTTTAAAACAATAGCCTTGGCACGACATAGCCCATGACACGACAGACCTTAAATTTTTAAGCAAAGCACAATCCACTGTCGACTCTACTCCCAACTAAATATATAAATATAACATACCTACCAATTTATTCTAACCTAACTAAACACATTTTCCTAAATATTGATGGGTGCGTTTGATTTATTATTTTAGATAGGATTTTGGGAATAATATTGAGTAGTTGGATAAGGGAGTATTACAAGATAAAATTTAAAAATTTATGAAAAAGCCTCTAGGTTTGCTAATTTAATTAAATACCCTAATATATAAAATAACAAAAACACCCCCACCACCTGTAGTGCCAGATTCTGGCCACCATCGCCGGAATCTGGTCAGAAAATCGTGTTACGACACAGACCGGTCGGATCTGCGTCGTAATGCATCGTTATGGCCTTTTCCGGCCAGATCCACCACAGATCTGGCCGAAAAAGGTCAGATCTACGACCTGTTGTGGCCGCGACGGTCGAAAAAGGCCAAAACGACGGCCAAGTATATGGCCGTCGTTTTCGGTCAACGATGGTCAAGTCTTTGGCCGTCGTTCACGGCCAGATCGGTGAACTTCCAACCATTTCTGGTCGACAGGTAGGCCGTTGTACAGATTCCGACTGCCACCGACGATGGTTGCCCAAATCTGGCAAGTATGGGTCACGAGGGTGTTTTTGATAATTTTTAAACTTTTTTTCAGGATGTATTTGATAAAATTAATAACCTTATGGGGTCTAAAAGTAATTAAAAAAATAAGATAATATTTCTTGAATAATGTGCCAAACATTATTTGAAGAATAGGATTAAGAATATGGATAAAAATAATAAATCAAACATGCCTGATATTCCCTGAATCATACGCACCCTATAAGTCATTTCTGGATAAAGTTGAATGCTATAAATGTTTATGCCATTTCATATCTTGCAATCCAAGAGTCTAGCCTAACCCAATCCCAAACCCCATTAAAAACCTTTCAGATTTTGAAACATCAAGAAAATGTATACACATCTTAAAGTCCAATTCAAGAATACATATAAGCCACAAGCAGTAATCATATGAATCTTTTATCCAAGCACCATTGATCTTTAAAAATAACAACGTTTTGATAACAGTATCAAGGTTCAATAATGGCTTTCCAATAAAAAATTATTAACTGTAGATTCTCAACCACGTCCGGATTACAGCTACATCATCATCAAAATATCATAAGAGTTCATAGCTGAATAAACATCAAATGGCAAAGCAAAAGGGTAGCATTTATGCACCCAACACCGAGCCCGAGTTCTTCCTGCATTCGGCAAGCATATCCATGTAGAACTGACACTTGCTGATGTCGTTTCCAAAGTTGTTGATGCACTACAAAAAACCAAAGGGATACTAGTTAGAATACTTCAATGACCCAAATCATATATATATCAAAAGATTATTCCGGAAGCAATAAAAGTAAATCTAATAAAAACCAATATAAACATAACTTTGCAAGTCAATTATAGAAATTTAAAAAGTAAAACTTAGACGGTACCTCAAATAAGAAAACAAAGAAGTATCACACTGATTTAAAAATCAACTTATTGACAGTACCAACAAGAACAAACAAACTCAAAAATTGGTTTCAATTCTTCTAGCCAAAGAAAATGATTTAACTCCTGTAAGTTCTATGCTTTCAAAACCTGTGCAGCAAACTTCAATACATTGGTTTAACTAGAAGCAAAGTAATTCTTTTGCTTCCAACTTATTCACTAAGTTCTTCTAGGAAACAGACTTAAACAGTTAAACCGTCTGCATATCAAAACACATCTAATAATAAATAGCGGAATGAAGAAAATATACATACATCTTGGAATGCCTTGGAGTGAATACCGCAGGCATCAGGGCTGCCAAGGCTGTTTGTAGTTGGAGCTGGGGCAGCAGCAGCAGCCTCAGAGACCACAGTTTCATGTTGGATGGTTCGAGGACCCATGACAGCATCCACAGCCCTGTGTGCCACTGCACTTCCAGTACCAAAAGCCATGCCTGAAACACAGACAGAGGACAAAAGTTCAGAATTGCTATGACTCAAATCAGAATTTAACATGTCATAGAAACCTTTTCATAAAATTGTATATGTAAAAAATCTGACAAAACTGATAATCTTAACATACCCTGAGCTATGGTTGAGCCAATGCCTCCAAGCAGCGATCCACCACCACCACTTTGAGCCGGAGCTGGAGGAGGGGCACGTTGAACTGCATAAAACAAGAAATATCAGGCATTAAAACCAAGTGCTTATCCAATTTTAAAATATGGTAAGAAAAAACACATTGAAAAAGTACATTTATTTACACACTGTAAACTACAAACAATATGTTGTGTGTTTATTTGAAATATACAAAAAAAGCACCTGGTGTAGGGGGTGCGCTACGTCGGGGAGCAGGGCGGGGTGCAGATCTTCCTACAGAAGAAAGTAAAATCACCATTAGAATCAATAAAGAATATCCCGTCACAGCAGTAGACACATACAACCTTGAGCAGTCTCTCACAAGAACATTAGACCCAAAAGCCTTTTTATAGTTTAAACAAACAGGGTTTAATATACATACCAATAACCTAAACCAAGAAAAATTTACAGCCACAGTATCAAATCTTGGACCCAGTTACCTCAATATTCAATGCAGAATATCATAACCAAATAAAATATCTCAAATAACACACCCAAATACTTCTATACTAACCTATAAATATACTCTAGACATTAACCATACGACAAAGCTTGACAATATTAAACGCTTACCCCTATCGTTTTGCAAGCAATTAACATCCCAATCACAAACAAATATCTAAACACTAAAAATAACAAAATTTTCTATCCTAAACCCTAAAAGCTATAAACTTCGGATAGCAGCCACTGGAGTTAGCCATACCCAGGGGTCTTGTGTTCGAGTTCGGCAATTACTGGGTTTACCCCAAAAAAAAAAAAAAAACTATAGACTTTGTCATTGAAAACCCTAAAAGCATCAAACTTTGCCATTTTAAACCCTAAAAGCAGCAAACTTTATCATTCTGAACCCTAAAAGCAACTCACTTTATCATTCTAAACAAAATAATTAGACTTAATTCACTTTTTTCCTTTCAAAAAATTAAAAAAAAAAAAAACCCCAAAACATTTTCATGATTATTTCGCAGCAAACAAAAATACCAAATCAAATGAACATAAAAATCAAAATAGATCTGAACGGCCACTTACCTCCGGAGCTTCGGCGAGGCATGTTGTTTAATAGCGTCGGCTGAACAACGAAAGATAGAAATTTCTAGAGAAAATGTTTGAGTGTTTGCTTATCAGGACTCGAAGAATACCTGAAGATCTGTTTATATAATCCTGTCGATAATCCGGTGTGGTCAGGACCACTGGTACTAATGACGTGTCAATATCACGTTAGTCTGTTTTTAATAATCCTTTTAGCACCCTATGATGTAACACTAGATGGCACACCCGTACGTTGCGCGAGTTTATTTATTATATTGTTTTTATTTTATTATCGAATTTTTATATTTTAAGAAATTATAAACAACTATTGTTTCACAAAAAAATATGTCAAATATTGATTATAATAGAACATTTTGTTATTGTTCTTTTTTTTTTTTAATCAGGTTTTTATGTTTATAGATTGCTGAGAATCGTTATATGATTGTCATTTAGGATGTCGTTAATTGGTCTCCGTATTGCTACTAATTGGTGTTTATAAAATAGAGATGATTCACATGCATTTAATTAATGTATGCAGTACAGATCTTTCACATTCCTCTTTTAATTTGATAAAATGCAAGTGACGGAAGATTAAAATGGCTAATTTGTAATTCAATAAGAATTGAATTAATTGAATTCAATACATAGAAGTTGAAAGTCCCGCAACTTATGAAAGTGGTTTTGATGCAAATAAATTAATTAATTGAATAATGAAATAATACTAGAACATTTTAGTGATAGGAATATATTCCCTTTTCAAAGCAAAAGAAGAGTTGCAACATTTTTCTTACAACAATCTGGTACATAATAATATAATTGAAATGACAATTTTGCCCTTCTTAAAATTAGTAGTTCCTACATGGAATATAACCATTACTTTGAGGTCCAACAGTTAATCTTTCACCATTTTAAAAGGCTGTCCAGCACCGTGAAATGAGCAAAAATAAAATAAAATAAAACTTGTCATCCTTCATCATCCAACACAAACTCTATTCGCCACAAAACACAAACTATTACTGGCTACAGAGTCCACAACAAAAACATGTATAACCTATCTAAGAATGTAAGTTTGCAGCTTTTTGATAATAAAATATTCTTCATTGATAAACACTTTGCAGTATAACATTGTTTATAAGACACAGAAAAATAAAATAAATGGACAATATATATATATTTTTTTTTTTAAATGGTTCATACTGTGTCTACGCCAAAAATGAAGTGTTCATTAAATTATTCCGAATGTCACCCCCATCAATGCTCACCGTGACCATCACTGCCAAAGGTTGGCTGCATAATAAAGGAATCAAAACTGAATCAATTTACTTTAACAAATAAATCAGTAATAATATGAAATTTCATAAACAAACAATGGTTTAAAGTAAGCACCTGTGAGTGGGGCAATGGTTGGCTACACTTGGAATGACCACTTCTGGTTGCTCAATAGGTGGTGTATAGGTTGTTCTTGTAAGTGGAACAACTCTTAGTCAAGCACAGAGAGAAAGATGGGAACTGTAGTTCCAAGCTCCATGAATATATCAAAAACTGATAATGAAATAGGCATCATTGATTCTCCAAAGAGCTTGATGCTGGAGCTTAGTTTGTCCTCAAGTTAAGAGGTTAGTCAAATTAGCCAAATATGAATATGAATATCCAAGAATTTGTCAAACATCCGCATGTGTTTTAATCCAAACTTAAGTTCTACGCAAAAGTTCACTAAAAACTTAAAAATTTATATTTGAAAAACTCTTTCTGCAAAAAGTTTGAGTTTATACTCAAAGAAAATAATGAGTTACTAAATTTAGTCTGGTTGCATAAAAACACCAAGGAAAAAAAAATTTCAACTGTATTTAGACATTAAGAAAACTTAAAGAGTAAGTGCTTTTAAGATTACACTAAGTTGGCACATAAATCATCAAATTTTTACTCTATAAAAGAAAAGATTACCTTTCAATATGGTCTCTGCTTTCCATCATGTTACCTGCTGGGTTTGAGAACTAATCAAGTTCATTAAAAAAAAAAAAAAAAAAAAAAAAACAATAAAAGATGTTACTCATTTATCCCATCACACAACATGCACATGCACACACATAAACACATACTGTATATGCATTAAATGTGACAAAGTAAGGGAAAGTTGTGCATTCTCGGAAGCTAATACATTGTGCAGTAGCCAAAACATATCATATCCAATTTGATGGAGATCTATGGACAAAACCATACCATTATGATGTGTACCATAATCAATCTATAACTTCACATGGAAAATATTGTAATGTATGAAGAAATAATACCAGACATTGACGGAGTTAGAATGCCATCACTAATAACCATGCTGGTTCCCAAAAGCACTACCAGTAGCAATAGAAGTTACTCACTCCTCAATTGATCTTACGTTTCATCTAGTTTTCTAGCACAACTCTTGGTTATACAAAGGGCTGCAATCTCACACAAACATCATAAGTTCACGCCTTAGTCTAACATATCATAAGAAAATAATGGAAGGAAACAAAAAAGAATGAAACATGTTAGAATCATTCACAATGGCTTCAAAAACAACTCATCAACCTACAGGAAATCTCAATTCAGTTACATCACAAAAAAAATCAAACACCGCCATCAAATTTCCAATAACATTTGAATTCTTCACACAAACTACCTGCTCAGCAAGGTCAAGGCTAACACGATCAAGAATCTTGAAACAACATCTTGAACCTCATAACATGCCCTGACTCTTCTTCCTCCACAGAAAACACTTAGATTCAACTCGAGAAACAACCTTCTCGAAGATGAACACTGAACTCCAAAACTCTCCTCTGAAACATCACACATGACTCTTGACTTCCACAAATTGCCTACTAATCAGCCTTGTTGACAAATCCCCACTTAAATCTATCTCTCAACACCCTCCAAACCCGGACTGGAACCAATCCACATATCGCCATATAGCCAATCTGTAAAAAGACAATTTTGGATCATTCTGAGAACAAAAACAACTGTAGACGTTTAGTTCTCATTCATTTAAGGAACATATAAAAAAAATCAATATTTAAATCTAAGTCATTGAATTATACAAAGAAATGAATCATTCAACATATATAGAATAAGTTTAAGTTCAATTGTTGAGAAACTTATTCACTACTTAATTAAAAAACTATTAAAATTTAAATCCAACCCATTAGTTATACAATGAAATGGAATCTTTAAGAAATGGATTAAAAGGTGTAAAATAGTAATGTAGAATTATGCGTTAATATGTAGAATAAATAGTTTTATATTAGCTTTTGGTATCATCATCAGTGGGAAACAATAAACTGGAACTTTTATTGATTTTATTGATAATAGAACTATTATATATATAGTTCTATTTTTTTCCTTGAGGAATACCAAGTTCTTTTCTTGGCAATAATCAGGGATTCACGTTTCGTAAATCGAATATTACATGTATGGTTGAGCCTGTTATTTCTAATAAAGCATTCATTATATCTCTATTCATGACTCTGGCAGTGTTGAGTTTGTCCAGCATGACTTTAAGGTTTTGTAGAATACCTTCCAGTTCAAGCGAACCATCTGACGTTGTGCTTGACCTGCTAAAAATCAAAAATCGACATGTAAAAGTACATATGTAGAAGGAATATAAGAGCAATCAGTTCATGTTATTTACCGCACGCTTCTGTTTGTTTGGATTTGGATTGACAATAGTTGGTCTTTTATCTTCCATTTGTTAATGGTATCGTGTTGAAATGAAAGAATATTTGAAGGTGTATGGATTGTTGAATTCTCTACTTATATAGCTTTAGATGTCATTAAGTAATATTATATGATAATTAATGATCACAACAACTGTTGTGTATGTTTCAATGTAATTGGATTATTGCTAATTAATATGACTTTGATATTTTTTAGAAAGTGTTTGCATGTTATTGGTTATGGTTATTTTGATTTAAATGTTTTATTGTTATTGAATGAGTTTAAAATTTTTAGATTTATATTAAATGTTAAATGATAATACGTTTTATAAAAAACATTAATTGAATGTGAAGGGGTAAAATATATTAATTATAATAATTAATGAATGTGAAGGGGTTCAAAAAATTAATATAATTAATAAAATAATTAATATGCATAAATGAACGTTGAATATAGTGGATTAATAAAGTGTATTATTGAATTTCATGAATGTGAAAAGATATGTGTGTATTTATCAAATTAAAGAGGAATGTGGAAAGATTTGTATTGAATACATTAATTGAATGCATATGAATAATCCCTATTATAGCAAGCCTAATAAAAAGCAAACACGTGGACAATTAACGACATCCTACATGGCGATCATATATAATCCTACGTGGCGTTAGAAGAAGCAGTATGCTTCAGCATTATATTCAGATTTATATTAAATGTTAAATGATAATACGTTTTATAAAAAAATTTAATGAATGTGAAGGGGTAAAGATATATTATTATTAATAATAATTAATTGAATGTGAAGGGGTACAAAAATATTAATATTAATTAATAATAATAATTAATATGCATGAATGAACGTTGAATATTAATGGATTAATAAAGTGTATTATGAATTTCACGAATGTGAAAAGATATGTTGTATCTTTATCAAATTAAAAGGAATGTGAAAGATCTCAAATTAAAAGAATGTGAAAGATTTGTATTGAATACATCAATTGAATGCATGTGAATAATCCCTATTATCAAGCCCAATAAACAGCAAACACGTGGACCAATTAATGACATCCTAATGGCAATCAATATCAATCCTACGTAGCGTTAGAAGAAGCAATATGCTTCAGCTATTATGAATGCATGTGAATAATCCCTATTGTAGCAGCCTAATAAACAGCAAACACGTGGACCAATTAACGACATCCTACATGGCGATCATATATCATCCTAGTGGCGTCAGAAGAAGCAGTATGCTTCAGCATTATATAAATATAGATAAACAATGAATCAGACTAAATTCATCAAACAAAACATATAATCATGCATTAATTATTATTATTATTTAATTTTAATATTAATGTATTTGTACCCCTTACATTCATAATTATTACTAATATTAGTATATCTTTACCCCTCTTCCTTGCTTTCTTGTCCACTAACTAATTCACTTTGGAAAGTCA